CACAACAGATACTGGCACCTTCAGTGGAAACATCATCTGCAGCTGCATTATACACGAAACATGCATTCCAAGTACAAATCCCGATAAACATCTGAACCGTCCAAACTCTGTCTGCTTTGCTTTCGTGTTTTATAATCAGTTAATTCTACATGAGAAGTAAGATGTGAGGGTAAGGTAAACTTAACCGGACTGTGTATAAAATCTTGTATGACTTGTACAATGCAAATGTAATAGTCTGATGTATATAGAGCCAAAGGTATATTCCTATATTCTGTAATTGGTTCTAAGTTGGGTGTACTGGAGTAGACTGTGTCAAACCATTGCATAAATTACAGAAGACTCGAGAAATTCCAGCTGCTAGAGGGAAGCATACAGGTAGAGTATCCAGTCAAAAAAGTTGAAACGCGTGCGGCCTTCGGGATCAGAATTTTAGATTTTGTTTTCTACTTCTCGTTTTCTTCTCCATGTGTCATACCACCTCTCCTTTCATTCCTTGGACTCCTGCGTAGAATGCCTCAACGCACAGCTGGGTTGGTTTCCCTTTCATTACTATTATATATATATATATATATATGATTAAATTCTTCAATCCAGCCATATATGTGTGATATGGAATTAATCATACACTATTTTAATTCATTCTTCCTCATATATATTACATTACTAATAATTTGTAATTATTACATTGTGTTTAATTTGATTAATATTTAATTACTACAGGTTTGTTGATGATCAACACTCTTTATCATCGTCAAGAAGAAGCTTTAAATATAAGTAGAATTAAGTTGGCCATGGCAAAAAAAGGAGATTGTAATTAAATTTTAGATTAATCTCATATAACTCGCTAGTAAATATACGCATAAAAGAGGACTTTTACTGGGTGTCGATTGGGTTGTTAGTCTTAATCTTAATTATCGATAGTTTCATGCAAACGCAAAAATTAATCTTAATTAAATTCTAGATCAGTAATCACCTAAACCCACCACCTACACAGACGTTTTCGAACATTACAACCACTCCACATAATCATCCACTATTATCACTAATCAGATTTCCTTAATTACTCCCCTTAATCAATTCTGGGCCACTAGTCACCCTAAATAACTAATCATTCATTCGTTTTCCAAGCAGCCGGCCTCTCTCTCTCTCTCTCTCTCTCTCTCTCTCTCCCCTGCATTAATATTATATATGTAAACGTCTTTATATTCTACACATATATATATATAGATGTATATATACTTGGTGGCTGTGTGTACTTACATATATATATATATGTATATAAGACCACTATTATTACTCGACCTTTCACGTTAATCAGCTTTCGAAAATGGCCAAGAATACTTTTAAACACAAGCTTTCTCGCGTGCTACCTTCACTTCAGTTATGTCGATCCAAATACCCTTCTACTTCCATTGAAACTCCAATCCGGAGACCAACTCACCGGCTATCTCCTGTCAATCCCAAGTCCGTCGACATCGGTTACCCAAACCTCCCGGTACCACCACCCTGTACACCCGAGCCTCATCCTTCCATGATCACCGGGCGCCACGCGTCAACAACCCACTGCACATCATCGGGTACGTACGAGGACAGCCTGTCGACGAGTGAATCGTTTTGTGAGATACTGGAGATCGAAACGGCGCGTATAAGGAAGGAGGAGATGAGGGAGGTGATGAAGGGTAGTGTGGCGGTGGTGAAGAGATCGTCGGAGCCGTACGAGGATTTCAAGAAATCGATGGTGGAGATAATATTGGAGAAACAGTTGTTCGGCGCGAGGGAGTTGGAGGAGCTGCTGCGCTGTTTTTTATCACTCAATACGACGCAGTATCATGGAGTCATCGTGGAGGCTTTCACCGATATTTGGGAGGTTTTAAACTCCGATAACCCGATCAAAAACTGAATTAGTCGCCATTAATCTTGATAATAATGTGTTAATTATTATGGATTTCATTTCAAAATTATTTTGTTCTTTGTTATTTCCAGGAACTGACGAACCTACAGTTTGCAGATAGAGCAATTTCTTTCTTGTTTTAGGCTTGGTTGAATTCAAGTGAAAAGTCTGAAAACATTTTGTAATATGTCGTAAACTTGAAAACATATCATGACAACATAAAAGAAGAGTGTAAGATCAAAGGAGGGCATGCTACGGATGGACAAAAACCATACCATTGACGTGAATCCCTTCCATGGATCTTCTAATTTTAGTTTCAGTAAGATCGCTGATACAATTGTGCGACGATGTCAGTAACCCATGCAGTAGACTGATGAAGACATGGCTTTTGGAAGGACCAAAAAGAAACTGATTGTTAAAACAGAAAGGGATTTAGAATAACATTCTAGGAGACTTTTTTTGAGGGAAAAAATATAGAATAAGAACTCCACGTATATCACGATTTGATTTTCATCTAACATAATGTAGTGTTACAATTAAAATGAATTATTAACAGAAAAGAAATGCCATCTTGAAACAAGTTGGCCGAAGTTTGTCATAAACTACGCAGTAGGCTTTGTGGGTGACACGAGCAATGCTAAGTAGATAGCCACGTTGAGTTAACTTTCGTTCATCTCGGCTCTAGCCTTGCGGTTCCAGTTCCCTGGCATTAATGACTGACCTTACAGCCTCTTCCCGTTTCTGAGTGAATAATCAAAGATCTGAGGCTGCTCCATCCGGCAAGTCATGTGCCCCTCAAATTGATATACAGTAAAAGCTATGCCTCTCTGCATGACCTTAGGCAATTCTACGAAGAAGATTGACCTTAGGCCACATGTACAGAAGGAGAGAATCAAGTTGATTGTGTATCAACAATAAATGTACAACAAGCATGTGCCTAAATCATAACTTGACCAGCAATTCCTGTTGCTCAGTACAAGACCCCAAACGAGAAGCCATATCATCCTCAAAAACCTTGACATGGCACAGTTTTCCACCAGTCTCATCTGCAAAAGTAATCTTCTTCCTCTCTTTTGGCACTACCTCTTTGGAAGAAGAACTTTTCTGAATCAACCTCTGCAGTGATCAACAAAAACAAGCAAAACACAGAACCAGGTGAGTTAATCTACCCACCACTGAAAGCTACGCCTTCCACCCTTTACTTTTTCAATTTCAAGGAGCTCGACAAGAAACAAACCATCAGTTTACAAAAACGGTTGCAGTCCCTTGCCATTGCCGAAATCCATCTTCTTGTAGTTTCTTCTGCTCTTGTTGCATTCTCAACAGCTGCTCTCAGCTGCCAAAGCAAAAATCAGTTGGAGATACATAATCGTGTCTGTGATAGCATGCATTCCAAAAGTAAACCCATGCAACCGCCAGTCATATAAGATGACAATGACTTTGCTACAGTAATGACGAATTCTACTGCAAAGTCCCCCACGTCAATACAAGAAAGCAGAACTTTTTTATTAAAAAAAAAAAAAGTGTAGAGAACGGAAAATTATGAAGCGACAAAACCAAACGAAATACGAAACAGGAGAATCACAATTAATCCCAGGACAATTAGCAAAAGAACATTTCAACTTGGATTTTAAAGTCCAGCATTTTATATAGTAATATACCTTGTCCATATTTTGCTTCGAGAAAGTAACTGGACAGACTTCAGGATCCAGCACTTCCTTCATGATGACTTTCATAGACTTCAAATCTTTTGTGAGTTTAGTTGCAAGACCTTCAACATCACGCATCTGCCTCTGTGAGAATTCAATGGCACTCTGTGAACATCCTTCAATGGAGGCACCACCAGTGCTAAAACGTGGTAACCCCTGTGAAGTATTGGGAATCCTGGCATTGCCATTTTCGTTGGGGCTTTGCTTATTACATTTTGGTTTTCTATTGGTTTGTTTTGTGCAGACATCAGATACTTCAGCTATCCTGATTTGATGAAGCCCTTCAGCCCTAAGGATCCTGTGGTTGTTTTGTCTGCTGAAGTATAGCTTTCCTTTACATTCTGAAATTGTCACAATCCAATAGAATAAATTAGAAGGGTGAAAATGAGAATTTTGGGGCAGATCTAGAGATAAAACAAGAACAAAGTAACAACTAGATCACGAACAAATCTTCAAGTTATTGAGCTGAAATGATTTGTCAGAATCCTTAATTACTACATTTCTTCACTTGGTAGAGTTATTTCAAGATACAATATTGATATGGATACACTTAATTGGTGACTCTATTTTTAGACTTGGCATAATTATTCTAATATCAAGTGTTCTGGACACTCACAAATAATTGTCTTAATCATGTTCTTTGAGTACATTTTTGCCACGTTCTTTCAAAACCTGATCCAGCATATGAACATGATTATTTTGTCGTTTCATTGGCCCAACTACCACACTCTTACTATCATCCATACAGTTCCAATAGCAAGAACTGTATAACACTTAAAATTGATAGAGTCCCAACCTAAACAAAAACTTTGTACACTTACTACGATGGTCATTATCAGGTAACTTAGTCCGCTCCATAGCTTTACACAATCTTTCTTGAGATGATGGAGAAATGGCCTGAAAGTGAAAGAACTGAGTGAGCAGTAACTTAAACAGACAGATTTAACCAATAAAACATGCAAAGTTTATTACAGACCTTTCTTTTGGAGAGAAGCTTTTCAGGAGGATGATGCATCTCAGTACAATGGCCTCCAGTCCCTACCAATGTCTTTTGGTCATTAGGAACACTACAAGAGTGGCTTGTTGTGGAGCAGTCTTCTGCTCCATTATCGTAGTCAGGGTATAGGGATTGCTTTCCCTTATCAGGAGCAGAGTGTTGATCAACAGAAATCAGACAGCCATCAGTACCGGAGCTAGCATTGCCTTTGAGATTAGAAGGTGAACCATCTTTTACACAATCGACAAACAAAGATGCAGTATCCTTATTGTTGAATTCGAAGCATTGAACATTAGCAACCATTTCCATGTCAGGCAGATCAATCTGACTGTTATGGCTAGTTTGACATAATGCCTCTTCCATCAGAGAATGATTTAAGATTGTATTGTATGCAACACACTGATCCTGTGTTGTACCATCTGTCTCTTGGGGAACACAGTAGGGAAGTGCATGAATAACACAACTTCCATCGCCTAATTTTGGTATGGGCAACTCTGAATACCGTGGAATAGTTATCGCTGGACTACCCACGGGTATAATCTCCCAACCAGAAGCATCAACATCCAAATTGGACCCAAGATCATCTTGTTCCCGATATTCATAGCACATTTCATTGACAGCACAGTATTGAGGCAGTATTGTTAGAGGTGTTGGGACCTGTGACTCCAAAACACTTGTCTTAAGCAGTGAATTTTGTTCAGCTGGTACTCGTGGAATATCCACCTTTACAATCTCCCAACCATAAGCATCAACATCAAAAATGGATTCAGGATTAAGACTCTCCCTATACTCATTGGAAACTTCATTAACACAGCACTGAACCTGTTTTGTTGGAGACACTGGTACCTCTGAACCCAAAATAATTGTCCGGGACACTGAATATTGTTCACTGGTTATTCCTGGAATATCCACCTGTATATTGTCCCCACCAGAGACACAAGCATCAGGATCAACATGCTCCACATGTTCATCCAGTTCTCCACTAATGCAGGATTGAGGCTGTTTACTTGGAGATGTTTGCACCTGTGGCTCCAAAACGTTTATTGTCTCAGGAACTTCAGTAGACACCACTTCACTAGGAACTTTAGTAGACACCACTTCACAAGATAATTGCATGGTACAAACAGGAGAAAGATCATCATAAGCAGTCATGACCCTGTAATCTGAGTAATCAGGCTCACAGGATTGAGGCTTTTTAGTTGGAGATATTGGCACCTGTGGTTCCAAAACCTTAATTGTCTCAGGCATGTCAAAGGACACCACTTCACTAGATAATTTCATTGTGCAAACAGGAGAAAGATATTCATAAGCAGTCATGACTTGGCAATCTGAGTAATCAGACTCACAGGGTTGAAGTTGTTTTGTCGGAGATCTTGGCACCTGTGATTCCAAAACTTTAATTGTCTCAGGCATTTCATTGTATCCAACTCCACTACATAATTCCGTGGTAGAAACAGGAGAAAGATCAGCATGAGGAGTCGTGATCTGGCAATCTGAGTAACCATGCTCATAATCCTCAGTTTTAATATTAAGATGATCAACCAAATTCCTATTAGCTTGCGGGGAATCTTCATCACTTTGAAAGTATTTTACTGAAGATGCAGTAGGTTGAGATAAACTAGAGGTACAATGTTTCATATGCTCTTTCTTTGCCTTCCTTCTCTTGGAGAGTCTAAACTTCCAACTACTTAGAGGCTCCTCAAGATCACATTCTTCCACCTTGAGTATGGAATCAGGGTACTCACAAGGGACAAATTTTGCTGTCTCATTCATAGAATTGCCATAATTTGAAAGTTTTCTTTTCTTTGCTCTGCACATTTCCTTAATCTGTTTAAGTGTCATATTAGAGAAGGTAGGACTATCGAGGTCATCACTTCCTACACCACCATCAGCACCGCTGCAATCAGACTCAGAAGCTTCCGCCTCAATTTTGACATTTTTTTCTCCAATTGGCAGGCATTGGCTTCTATTTTTGGTTGGATCACAGTCAAATGACAAGGCCCCGAGCACAAATCTTGGTTGGAAGTTGGGCAGTGAAACATCTGCATTTCCATTTCCAAATATGTCTTTAATATTTTTAAATCTGATTGCTGGCCTCCTCCGAGAATCCACATTCATAATTTTTTTCACTGAACCACCTTTGATGGCCTGGATATGGTGAAAGTGACTGAAATTTCTTAGCTCCATTAGATAAGTTTCAAAGACTACTTGCTTAGTACTTTAAAAGAATCCGACATACAGCTGAAAATTTTCCCTGTAACATCAACAAATTCACTCTCTAAGAAACCAATAAAGATGACAAAGAGAACCATATTGGCTAGCAACTACAGGTCTCTGTATATAAAGTGCATTTTATCAGGAATTTATATATTTAATACATATATATATAAGTTCAAGTTTTTCAAGATACCCTTTTAGTTGTAGACTCAGGTATTTGACGGCAATAGGGAAAGAGAAAAGGAAAAGAAGAAGAGAACAGCATTAATAGCAACCAGAAACCAGTTTACTCCACAACTTCAAGTACAACCAATCTAACAGTAAAGTAATCCTTAGTGAGTCTGAAATGCCACCAAATGGTATCAGGGCTAAAGGGAAGAAATATTGATGCAACAACTAAATATACAATCATTCTCCACCAAACAAAATAAAATTAATGGTCAAAACTCTTGATTGCAACTATCATTATGGGCCCTGTCAAATTGGCAGATTCGTCATCATTAGCGGATTGTAAGGCAGCTAAATTTACAAATCAACTTAAATAAGTTACCACCATTGAAGAGAAAACAAACCGAAAAAAAAATCATCTGATTGACCACTCTAATTAAATATCTCATGGTCCCAACACTGCATCAAGCGCTGCAACTTAATTGAAAACTGTTAACTATTCTAGGAACTATGCTTTGACTGAGGAATTGGATCCTATATTTTATTTTCCCAGGCAACCAAACAAGCTATCAGCTAAGAACTTCAACTATCTCATCTTTTTCGTATCCAAATAACATATTAAATCCACACTGCGTGAAATCTATACATCAATCCAAACATACGGGTCGCATTATAAAAAAATTTGCAAAATCTAAAGGTTGCTTTTTCGTTCACAGGAACCCTAGTTTTAATAAGTAGCAAGCAAAAAAAAAAAAAAAAAAAAGCGATTAGCCATGGCCCATAAAGCTTGAAAAAAATGTGTATACATATGCCATCATTTTTCTGAATATCCGTTATAGCTTATCGCATCCCGAATAGAACCCTAATTTAAGTCGATAGTAGAAGCCCCATACAACATATCACCATATAAAAAAACAGGCAACGAACATTAAGCAAAAAAAAAACAAAAAAAAAAAGACGATAAAATCAGTCTATGATCTCCAAATCAAACCCGTAGATTAATGGCTCATCTCAGAAGTTACAGATCTGATCTCTGAAATAAATCCACAATTTAAAATATATGTACAAATGAGAAAGGAAAAAAAAAGGACTCACCACAAGTTGAGATTCTACTAAGATCCCCTGGAACTAAACTGAAAATGGCACCTTGCTAAGCTTTTGAAAATGGAATTTCACCGGAAGAGAAAGAGATGGTGAGTGAGTGCGCGAGCGAGCGAGCGAAAGAGTAAATTGAAGATCGGCTTGTGAAAGAGACATAAAAAATAGAAACTACTATGAATCTCGCGCCAGAAATATTTGGCGGGAAGAATGGCTCCATGAAGACTCAAAATATAATCGATTGCACTTATTGGATGCTGCTAGCGTGTACGTGTGCTTAATCCGGATAGATCAGAACCGTTGATGTAATCGTCAAAGTCAACAGAGTTATCATGACATGATATCATGGAAATTCGAAACATCTATCTGTTTTTGGACCGACCGGGCCTGGATGGTTCGGTGAACTGGGCTAGAACTTGTGCACCGGATCGGGTTATCAATGCACTGATCCGGCCCAGTACACGTTGGCTCATGCGATAATTTTAAAATTTCAAGTAATGCAATTAATGCCATCAGCAATTTTAGTATGACATCAGCAATTTCTCAAATCGGGGAAGTAAAACGACAAGCTTCCTCAAATGAAACGCTTTAAGACAGATGGGATTAGGGCACAAAACAAAACGGCCGCATGGAGAAAAACAATGTGGATTTATTTAAAAACAATTGAAATGAATTAAAAACCCTCGCCCTCTCCTCCTCCCTGCCTACCTCTGTTTATCGTCTTCCTCGTTTCTCTCGAAATGAAGGCGTCTCTCAAGGGCAGATACGACTTGGACAAGAGCAGCGCCGCTGCTACACTAGCCGTTAACGCCGGCGATGTTAAGCTCCGAGCCACCATGACGGACGCCACCGTCGTTAAAGGCCCCAGCTTAAACGGCTTGGCTCTTGGCATCGAGAAGCCCGGCTTCTTCATCGTTGACTACAACGTTCCCAAAAAGGTATCAAATCTCACAATTTGATCCGGAGCCTAATCTCTTTGTGCACTGAAAGCTAGTAGAAAGCATATTTGAATTTCTTTTACAAGACTTAAGTTGTTATTTTAGGATTTTCTGTTACCAGTTTTACTATATCTTAGTCAAAGTCTATGGTGGTTGTTAAATTGTCTATAACTTTCTTCACTTAATGTGTATTGGTGGTATAGGACTTCAGGTTCCAATTCATGAATAGAGTGAGGATTGCGGACAAACCCTTGGATTTGACTTACATTCATCACCGAGGTGATAATAGGACAATATTGGAAGGTACTTTCGTTTTTGATTCTGCTAACAAGTTGTCAACAAATTACATGCTTGGTACACCCAATTGTAAGTTGAAGTATACATATGTGCACGGAGGGATTACTTCGTTTGAGCCATGCTATGATTTGGCGAAGAATTCTTGGGATTTTGCTGTTTCTCGGAAGGTTTATGACGATGATGTATTTAAGGCTACTTATCAGACATCGAGCAAGGCTTTGGGTATGGAGTGGTCGAGGAATTCCAAATTGAACGGATCTTTCAAGGTAAATCTACATTTTTATTTGTTGCTGTTTCTTCTATGGATACTTTCTTTTGTTTTTTAAACTGGCAATTTGGTTTTGGGAAGCTCGCAGAGTATTAAGTTCTGGTTTTAGCCTTCTAGCTTTATATGGTACAAATGAAATTGACTTTCATAATTCATCATTCCGGTTTGCGAATATGATACTATGTTTATATGTAAGAGCCTGAAAATTTTTAGAATGTACAAGTTTATGGTTCTAAGGTACCAGTGAGAAATTGTCTGGTTCTAGTGACTATGAATTTGTCTGGATTTATTAGTTTCCAGCGTTATGTTAGAAAGTTTTCAACTTTTATTCTAAGGAAGGTACTATAGTAACGATTATTCTAAGGAAGGTACTACAGTAACCATCATGTGAAACTGTATTTAATAGGATTCATTACTGTTCATCAGTGCTGGGGAAATCTTGGAATGCTGATTGCTTTATGCAAATTTTCATTATTGAATTTAAGTTTAACTGCTTTCTGGAAACACGCATGGCAAGTTTCTTTTGCTGTTAACTGTAATTTGTTTTCTTTAACATAACATTTAACTAAGTCTTTTGAGGAAATTGGACCTGTGAAATGTATGTGAGTGGTTGTCTAGGTTACCTGATAAAAATTTTTCCCTTGGGCAACATTCTTCTTTTACATTAAATCTATGAGTTAATTTGGTTGAGATATCTAGTAAATCTAGATGTTTGGTTGAGTCAGATAATTAAGAATTTTCAAGAAAATGTAAGGCTGAAACCATTTTTAAGTATTTTCTAGTAAAATGTGATTGCTTACATTACCAGAAGCCTGCTGTTTCCAAAACCACCTTAAAAATAAGGATCTTGGATTGGTTTTACGAAAAGAGGCACAATTGTTTATTCTGCTCTTCTTTGATTTCAGCATTTATTGGCATTCAGTTGCAGTTTGTCTAAGGATAAGTTCACATCATAATTTATATCACATGTGGAATACATTAACTTGAATTGTTAGTTTGAGTTGTTTCTTGATAACTTTTTGTTTACTCCTTATATTCCTCAGTCTTCTATTGAACTGATTTTTTTTAAATCTGTTGGCGGGCGATATGGCTTCAAGGAAATATTTAAATTAGAAAAAGGCTTCTATTTTTTTTTCATCATAAAATGTTATAAGCATTCCAATATTCCTTTGTCTACTTTTATGATTAAATGGAAAAGAGACGGTGCATCCATGGAGATAATCAATTCAATTTATCTCAAATTCTACAAGTTGGTATTCAATTTGTTTGTTGGATTAGAGGATGTGTTAGTTATGCCAGTGACATGGGTTGGCATAAGGTAAGTTTGATCTGCTCTTAAAAAAATTTATTGATTGCAGATGAGGTTATGTTTTGCTTGAGACAATTATTTCTAGTTTTTAGAGTGAATAAAATAGAAGTTATTTTGGAAGGTGAAGTTGATAGGTCCCTGTTGCAGCAGTTGTGGCGGTAGTGGTGCAAGGAGAAAGTAGAGAGGACTGAGGTTGTGGCACTGTTTTAGAGTTTTAGGGGTTTAGACCCTTGACTTCCCTCTGGGCCCTTGTTCAAATCAAGTGTTATTCCCGAGATGACACAATTGCAGCCCTTTCATTCAAAGAATTTGTGCATATTCAAATATAATTCTTTTCTATAGATTGTTATCTTCCAACAGGACATCATTTTCTTATTGTCAGATGTGTTGTATTGTTCTTTGAACTATTTACTCCTGCTTCAGGTCTTGATACACAGTTTTTAGTATTCCATTTGGCTTATACTTTCCTTCCAAATACTTGGTTCCATTGATTGCTTGATGCTTTGAAAGTTGCAACATTTCCTTAACCTCTTCAAATATTAACTGAACCTTTTTTTGATTGGATCTTCTATTTCTTCCAGATATCAGCGTCCCTCAACCTGGCCGAGGAACTGAAAATGCCAAAACTAAGTGCGGAGAGTCAATGGAACTTTGAGATGTGACTTGGTTTTGGATAATCTCCAATGTGTTCGGTTGGCCTGGTTTTCGGATCAGGTATTTAGGAAAACAGCTCTGTCTTGGCTGCATTCTTGAGATATGCTTAAGCATTATCTTGTACTATTTGTTTATAATCAAGCTGGTAAGCTGTCTACCAGGCATAAACAGTTCAATGAAATTGTCTATCAAACAACTTCCCTTGATGAATTATGAAACTAATTTCACTATTCTTATAATACTTTTTATTTTTCTATTTTTTAAAAAATATAAATTAAAATTTTAATCTGTTGTGATTATTCCAATTGAAGAAACCTAAGCCATAAAATGTTTTCTTCGCCCAAAAATATAATAGTTTGATTGAGACTTAATTTGATCATCAACACACTTCCACTAAAATATTCTTGAGTTAATTTTTCAGTTTTATTAAATCGAGTATTGTAGGTTGGATGTTAGTAGTTCGTAATATTTGTATTAAATGATAAATTTTACATTCTTAATAAAGTTTGAATTTGTTATATATAATTAAATAAAAGTATTTTTAATTAATAAATTATTGATTTATCAGTCTTATATTATTTTTTATTATGGTTAAAAATGATTTTTTTTTTTTGAATGTTTGGTGCATCAAAACTTTTTGTTTTAAAATATTATATGAAAAGATCTAGTAAGATGGTTAGCATAAATCTTTTCGGCTGAAATAATCTTTGAATTTTTAACTTAACGACTAGTGGGTTTATTATTTATAAAAAAAATATAATTAAAATTTTCTATTATAGTTTAGTTATTCGATCAAGTATAGTAAAAAAATATAATAATATTCTTCTTATCTATAACTTTCATTTCTATTTATTTCTCTTATTTCTACTAAGTTCCAATAAAATTGTGCATATGGCCAATACTAACTCACATATCTTCCATAATCTCATTCACTAGACACTTTAAGGAAGCCAAATCCGACTATCATTTTGTTAGGAACGTGCACTAAATTAGAAAACATCCCATGAAATATATGATCCAAAATAAATTAAAGGAATGTTATATAAATCAATTGAACGATAAACCAATACATATTGAGATGGAAATGTAAAGAGACTCAAATAATTGTAGAGTCCTAATTCTAAATATCGAAAAAAAAAATTTATTTTAAAAATATAATATTTATATTTAACATAAAGTGTAAAGTTAAATAATTTATTTTTATAAATAATTTATTTTTTATATTAAATATGAAATTTCATATATATTTATATATAAATTATAAAATATAAAATAAAAGTATTATTGAAGCTAAAAATTAAAATGTTAAAACATCAATACATCTCTCTAAGTTCAAAAATTCATGATTTGAATTAACGTAGTTTCATTAATTATTTTAAACTGCATTGATTTATTATATAAATTAGCGTTAAGCATTTATGGCTGAATCGTTAAACTATATAATTCATAGTTGACGAATTTATAGATTGAATTCCTACTAAATGCACATCGATAGAACTCTTCAATAAGTTTATTAGAATTGACTCTGTATCAATATAATTTTATCATTTATACATAATAAATTGATGTAGTATATTCATATCATAGAGAAGAAGTATACGAAAATTCGTAAATACAAGTGTCAATAGAGCTAAAATTGAAATTTTTATGCTTTGAAAAGTTTGGGAACAAAGCAAAAAAACTAGATGTTACTTCTAAAGGAATTTTTGAGAAAGTTCGGACCTCAGCCCTCTCTTGAAGGATCCGACTACGATGACGGGTCGGGTCATCCTGTCCCAAAAAGCATGCCTTCATTTTTGGCGGCTAATCATAATCTTAAAGGTAAGTGCCAAGCGCCATGTTTTCAAATTAGTTGCCGCCAAAATTATTTGTGTTACCGTTTTTGACCTTAATTCTCCGCTCTCAAATGACGAGTCTCAGATCCATCCCTGAACTTTCAGCTTCTGATAGTAGAAGCAACGAGACTTAACTCACTACTTCGCATTCACTAAACCCAGAAATCAGAGTTAGTGATGGAGAGCGACGAGGATTTTGAACAATTTTCGCCCGTCGAGCGAGGATCTTCTCCTGTCCCCAAAAGGAAACTGAAACGATTGAGAAAAGCTGAACGGCTTGTAGAAAAATCTCCGGATTTTGATGGGAAGTTTGCTCACCAAAATTTGGAGGAACCAGATTTCGAATCTGATTCTAAATCTGATCGTTTCGAGGAGGAAAATGAGCTGAATTTTGGTTTTGAGGAAAATGAGATGGGGAAATTTGCGCACCATAATTCTGAGGAACCGGATTTCGGATCTGATTCTAAATCTGATCGTTTCACCGAGGAAAATGAGCTGAATTTTGGTATTGAGGAAAATGATATGGGTCCTAAGAGAGACTCCAAATTTGATTATGTCGACGAGGAACTTGATGGAAATATTTCAAAAGATGGAGTGCAGGAGATGGAAACTGAAGACAAAAGTAGGGAGTTGGGGATGGAAGAATCGGAGAAGAAACGGCATAAGAGTGGGGATACTAAAAAGAAGAAGAACGGTAACAGAGTCAGAAGTGTTGGTTTTGATGAGTTGCCTGCATCGTCTGCTTCTGTAAAAATGACAAAGAAGGTACCGTGCCGTTTATTGCTCTGTAATATTTTTGCCACATGCCTTTCCCTTTTCTAGGTTGATTTGTAGTTCCATAATTTGACAGGAAAGAAGAGAACGTCTTGACCAACTGCGTGCTGAATCTCAGAGACTGTTACGACGTACGTAATAGATGAAAATTAGTTATGTTATAATAGTAGCAGATTAGGATGTTGCGTTTCAAAAATTATTTTTGCGTATATGTTGAATTCGTCTTTCTTGCATCAGAAACTAGAGATGCTGCATTTAAACCTGCTCCTCTGATCCAAAAGCCTATATCATCCGTTTTAGAGAAGATTCGGCGAAGAAAGGAGGAGGTATCAAAAAAGTGAGTCATTTAGTACAACTGGTTGTTTTATGTGGGCTCTTTTTTTTGTTGGGTATCTATTTATGTTTTCGCTTTTCCACTATGGTTTGTTTGAATTGCATCTTTCTGTGGCTGACAGATTTCTCAAAATGAGAGAGACTTTGTTCACTGGTGATGATGATCATCTATCTGGGCACGTAATGGTGGATGTTGATTCCGCTAATATCATTGCTGAAGAAACAGAAAGTGTTATGGTTGCGAAGATGGAAAACGAGAGAATTGGTGTAGATGAATCTTGCACGAATGGGTCAAGTCATATGAAGAATCACTCCAGTAATCTGGCTGGGAATCAAAGTCATGAACATAGTCCTTCTCAGGTACTAACAGTTTTTTTGTTTGCCAGTTTTATTTGAGTGTTGAAAGAAAAACTAGTCTCTGGTTCTCTATTGTCATGGTGGGAATCAAAGTCATGAAAATAGTCAATTGGTTGTTTATTGGCATGCTGTAGGACCTGGTCTCTGGTTCTCAAACTAGTGACTCGAAAGGTGAGCTACCCGAAGATACTTCGGAGGATACTTCTGATGAACTTCTGGAAGAAGTTTCGGCACCGTCTCTGCTTACAACGAACTTAAAGCTTGACGCTTCTTCTCATGATGTGTAAGTGTGTTATTGGACTCTCTAGAAGCAATGCCATTGACTTTATGATTCATTCTCTTGCTGCATTTCCTGTGGTCCTGTGGCTTATACACATGCTGCCTTTCTACTGTTTACGTGCATCTGTCACTGAATCCCTGTTTCTTGTCCACCAAATTTTCCTTTGCACCCCCTTCCCCCTCTGTGTTGTTTCTGTTTGGTAAAAAATGTATTTTGAATTTAATCCTAACATAGCCACAGGAGCAAACTTGAGAACAATGTGAATTAGGATCTTCTTCGCAATATTTTGTTAAAGATACGCAATTATTCTTTCTCATCCATAACTGGCTCTCGTAGCAATTGTTATGGCATGGCCCCATAACTGAGGATCTAGTCAAGTTTTGTTGTGGAAGATGGTAAAGGCTCATAAAAAAAGGAAACCCTTTGGTTTGTGAATTTAGGAAAAAAAATCTGATTCTTTTATCCATAGGAATTGGAGACTTATCTACAACTACAGAGACAAGATAAGAAATGATTAATTCCCAAACTTTCGAGCATAATTTCTTTACACGTCTAAGAGAAGAGAAAATACATACAGTTTATCATAAGCTGCTCGGTAACCGTGGAAAGGTAAAAAATATATATATTTTCCTTGTCTCCATCTGTAAATTATTGCTTTGGCTCATACATCCTATTTTGTAATAAATGTTTAACGGAGAGAAATTTTTTTGTAAAAGATATGCTTATACTGAACTTCGAAATATTTCTTCATTTATCTATTAAGTAAAGCTAATAGGTATATTTGATACTGTTCTGTTTATTTCTATCATAGTTCTGATGACGAGGACAATGATAAGGAGAATGTTGATCTCCATCCGATTAGTTCGTCTCCAAATGGTGATCCTGTTAAAGCTTTTGTTGATGATGAAGCTGAGGAGGAAGACGACGGTGATAATGACCTAATTCGCTTCAAAGATAATGAGGACGATGAGGAAAATGAAGATGATGAAGAACTTAAGAATATGATAGCAGCTGAATACGAAGAAAAACAGACTGATATTGAAAGGCGTAATCAACTCCATCAGGCATGGCTTGAGAAACAGGACAATGCAGGAACAGAGAATCTTTTGCAGAGACTTAAATATGGTTTACCCCAGAAGGAAGCAACCTTTCTTGAAGAAGAAGAAAATGAAGAAAGCAGGGAAGACAAAGTGGACCAGGATGATGATGAAGACGCAGAAGATTTTACTTTCCAAAAAATGTCATGCGGATGAATATAAAGAAAATAAAGGAAATGATTCCTCAAATGTTTACTGATAAGGATGATGTATACATATCATCTGAGGATGAGGAAATCGAGAAGAGGCTGACTAGACAGTGCCTTTCTGAGAAATCTGTGAGTAATGAAATGATTTTTCAGAATTATGGTCATTTCATGCTTTATTTGAAAGTTTCATTCACTGGATGAATCATTTTTCTTGTAGTTTTTCCTTAGTAGATTTGGTTATGTCCTATTAATTTGGTAACTGGGGAAATAACCAAACATTATGATATGGAGCAGGAGGAGCAGGCCAAGCTTTTATCTCCAGCTGAAGATGAAAGCTCCAAAGAACTCTTTTGTCGTATAAAGAAGGTGAATAATGTGCCTGATAATCGGAGGAAAGCAAAACAATCATGTAAGTTCAGTGTATTTCAGTCAATTTATTATCCTACGGATAAGCTACTCTGGTCTAATCAGTTTTAGTGTGTCATGCATACTTTTTATTGATTATTATTGCCATTGATTCCTTTTTGTAGCTGTTTTTGATAAGCGGCTCATTGGAGGAAACATGAATGCATCAAAGGTAAACTCCTTTGAACTATTTGGATTCAGCAATTTAATAGTGGTTCCGGAATGTTGAGTGGTATGTTTGGTGCAACACAGGTTAAATGGCTTTGAGCACCAGAGTAATATTTTTAGTCTCCGCTTTTTTTTTCACAAGAAAAAATATATGAAGTCTGCGCTTACTACAAAAAGAAAAGAAAATGGCTAGACTGCACTCAGCACGTCTTTTTCTCTCTATGATAATGGTTGCTGATTACCTTTTTCCATGATCTGCTATATAAAACACCTTTATTTGAATATTGATGTGTATGATATCTAACTTTCTATGCCATTTCATTTGAAAGTTTATTTTGGCACCAGACTTTTGTATTTCTGTCAAATTGTCCAAGGGGGCTCTTCTTTGCTCCAGCTGGCATCTCACTTAATTTTGGAAAGTAATGGCAAAATTCCTCATCTTTTACTCAAATAAGAGTCTTACAATAACATGTACTAGGTCTTAGCGCATCATCTTCGTCAATGATGCAAATTACCACAGAATATGGTGTTGTCGGACAGAAGCTAAACAATGAGAGCTATACTGAGTCAAAAAACAAAAAAAAAATGAAGAAAAGAATCAGAGTTGTAGAGACTGCTGAATATTTTGGTGTTAGATGCTGATGCAAAATAGCTTGCCATTGTTAAATGCTGCAGTCATCTTTCATTGGTCGTGGGTCAAACCGTTCTCTACCATCATCTCAAAAGAGGGGATCAAGCATGGCGGGCTCTTTTATTTTTGAACGGGATGACAGTCATAGCAGGAGTTCAATCTCAATGGCAGAGGACTCTTCAGCTCTGGTAAACTTTATTATAAAAACATGACGGGGTTTCTTACAATTGTTTACAATATTTCTGGTTCTTTCATCTTTGGCTATGCTTGACCTTGAAGCTTTTTCTTGTGATGGTATAGAATAAGAATCAGTTTTCATACCCATATTGGCAAATTGGGAATGACAATTCCCTCCAAGCCTAGACAGGGAGAAAGAGGAGCGGGGTGGGAGGGAGAATTCCATATGCCAAAAATTTGATAAAAAATATGCCCTCTCATCTCAATTTAATTGTGCTAAGAAATTGAAAAAGTTTCCTTGGGACAAGTAAATGAATGAAAACTTGGGTTGATTTCGTAGTTGCTATTAGAGCAATCGCGACAGCTAATAAAATTTGTTGCACTTAAAATCCACGGTGCTGGAAGTTGGCCATTTCAGTTTTCTGACTCGTTTTAACGTGCAGATTGAGCACGAGCAACAGAGATCTAAAACAGCTTCGGTGAAATTCAGTAATTCACAGGTTAAATCTAGTTCTCAAAGCACAAGGGCCGGAAAAGAAGTAAGCTCCCGCACTTCTTTATACGAGATACTGAAGCGCTCTTCCGTGCAGTCTGGTCCTGGCAATTGTGACGGTGTGGTCGGCCATTCTAAAGCCATATTTGCAGCATTCAAAGTGGAAAAGAAGACAATAAAGAATGAATCTGTAAAGTCTATCTAGCAGGGTGTATATAGATGTGTCACAGTAATTTAAACATACCGACGACCATTACATTAATGCCAGAATTGTCATTCAACTAATTACAACTCATATTTTGATTATTTACTAATCACAACCAGTTAATTACAATTAATTAATCTAATTACGTTTATCCCTAATACCCGTGGTTGGAGGAAAGGAACCAAACCGAATTGTGTAGACGCGTGCGGGAGGCTTATGTCACGTCGTCTTCAGTCAAGAGCAGGAAGTAGAATTCGAAGGAAATGAGAATGCCGCCTAAGATGACTCGATGTCATACGATTAAAGTTAATTGAATGTGTGGAGTTATTCAACGAATGCAACAAAACTGTAATCCAGATATTTTGTACTTTTGTGGGGGGCATCTTGCGGTGTGCTTTTAGATATTTTGAACATTCAGAAACAGCAGTATTATGTTGGTATGCAGTAGTAGTACGATGCGTAAAGATCTGGCCGAGGTTGGGTAAAAAAAAAAAAAAAAAAAACTATGGTGTAAGCCTGAGTCGATTCATGTATTTTCAGAAATTATTTGTCGCGTAGCATATGAGACGCTGGTTTTGAATTTGGCAAGACGACTGCCAAGGATCAGGAGCAGGCCGCATGTGAAGGGGTCTGACTTTGATCTCCGCGTTAGGGGAAGGAGAAGGGGGAGGGACCGGGGACTCCACGTGTCGTGTCATGATAGTAACGTGCAAGAAAATATATATTTTATTGAATGTGAAAAGTTGTGAAATTTTTTCTTGCCCTAATTTGAGCCAAGGTACGGGTCGGAGACCAGAGTCAAAACGTGACTGGAAGCAGCGTTTTATGTGTTATCTCGAAGACAAAGGCAGATTCATCAAAATCTAACATAGATTCCGGCTAAAATTCCATTTAATCTCGGATCCAAAAAACACGATAATGATCTGCTAATAATCATGGAGAAAAACTGAGTTGATCACTCTTCCACCCAGCTTCTTCAAATGGCATTTCTTCACCGAGGCAAGTTCTTTTTCATCTTTTTGCTTTTCATTTTATCCTCCCCTCGAGACATTTTTGCGCTTCTTTCCGACACTGACTCTGTCTTAATCCAACACGAATGCCTTCATGCTCAACCCGAGTCTGAATCTACTGCTGCTCGGTCTAGTCAACAAGAAGCTTTGCTCTATAGACTCGAGGAGCTCGTGAGGAACCTAAGTGAAATAGTTAGTAGATTAGAATCCAAATTGTCCAACATACCGTCAATTGATGAGAGCAATGATGTCGAGAGTTTAAGATTGCTTCTGCAAGGAAGTGAAAAAGTTGTTAGGCAAAGAGAATTCGACGATAATAGATCGGAAAAAGAAGACGGGGTCATTGAGGGTAGAGGTGTGGATGGGGATAGAGGGAAAAAAGTGGTTTCTGTTACTAAGTACAGTCCTTTATGGTCTGAGAGGTTTCAATTCGTGTCAGCGG